CAGGAAACACTGAAAAGTGCTCTCTTGTATTACTGGTTAAAACTACTTTTAGCTACAATTTCAAGATGGTAACAGCCCCACTAAAAGCAGGACTGTGGGTAAATGGAGTTGCCGTGGCTGCCTCAGAATGAATGTAAGATTAAGGTACTCACAAGTCTTCGCTGAGCCCAAAAGATACTCCTTGGCAATGAATAGTCTGGCTGAGATTCTGAGATACAGAGATTTATAAGTACATCCCTTTGTAAAAGGAGGAAAAGAAGAACGGACCGATGGCACTGGTGAAAGTACACTTTCCACTTGAATAATATGCACCAAAACTAACCTGCTAGTGATAGACTGGAAGAGCCACGGTCTGCCTCCGCTGCATCCTTTAAACAGCTCAGGATGGTGGAGCAGCGCTGAATTTCCTATTGCTGTGTTTTCCAGGTCCGTTACTGTTCAGAAGAGCATGAGTTTAATTCTGCGTTTCTTTTCAACAGCTCTGTATTCATAAGCGTAGTGTTTGCGTGGATCGTTTTTCTTCTTTCCCAGAATAGTCCATAATATTGAAGACTTTTTTTTTAAAGCGGTCCCTTGGGAGGAACTACACTGGTAATGAGGGAGGAGATGATGATACTAGAGCAAACTGCAGAAATGAGCAGTTAAGGAGACAAGCTCGAGCAGATCTTTTCCTTTGTGGTGGGATAACTTCATGCTTGCGTTTGTTCTTCAGTGGCTGATGTTGAATGTGTAGCACTGTATCCCACTGTCAACCACATCTGAATTCAGTCTTTTCTAGTTTACTGAAGAAAATACATTGAATTCTAGGCAAGGGGAGTTTGCACTTGACACTTTGTACAGTAACTTCTCCCACGTGTTTCTAGCACTTCTCTCACTTCAGATATTTCTTACCTAGAGTGCTTGGTGGGGTAATCCTTTTTATGTACGTGGTTGTTCTCCCTACTACTGAAGTCAGTTAAGCATCGGTTTAAAATGTGAAAGTTTCTTTACCCATAACAGTACGCCACCGTGAGAGGAAGATTCACTGTATCATAACTCAACTTGATTTTGAAAACAGTCTTTAGTTTTTCCCTCTTCTAGTTGTGCTCATGACTGCGTTGTATCTTTTGGAATAAATTCTACACATAAGACTTTTGGGGGACAGGGGAGCAAATGTAGGCTTTGTACATCAGTGGTCCCTCTTGATTCTGTTAATATCAGTGTGCTGTTCTTTATAGGAAGTGTAAGTGAAACCTAAATAAGGAAAAGTTGTTGGGGGGTGTGGGGGGAGGGAATGCTTTCTTTGTGATCTCAAGAAATCATAACATGTTGCCTAGATTATGAAATGGTTATCACTAAGCTATTGAGGCCTTCATTGCCTTTCTGGTTGTAAGGTTTACTTGTCTATTGTAACTGAAATAAATAAATGTGCTGTTCATCTCAGTCTGTATGGGGACTGAAATTCTTGAATGTCAGTACAGGACTGATTTAAATCTGAAACGCATGCTTATTCTATAAAACAGCTCTTACTGCCATGACTTTAAGCTCAAGAAGTCAGAGTATGCATGGTATTATGATCAAGCAATAGTAACTAATCTAAATGTAGTTCTAGACTGACTTCCGTTTGAATTCAGTATCTTGAATGGGATCTCTAATATATTTCCTTATAAGACAAATCTCAGGGCAGATAATGTTGGTTTTGGAGGAGGGGTGAAAAGTTGGTTGTTTTGTAAGTGGTTTCATTTTTTCTATATTGATCTTGACAGGAGGAGGAAAAACCTTCAGCATGGAATAGTCTGAAGAGAAACAATGCTGTAATGTCAAACCAATAGGAAAACACGGGGGTCTGTAGCAAGTGTGAGCATCCAAGGACGATGAACTGACACCCAGGGATTTAGAACAGTAGGAAGCTTTCCAGTGTGTTTCCAAGTGAACAAGTAAATGTAATATTCATAGAAGGATAACTCATATTCAGCTGATAGTACTGGGAAGTTTTCCCAAAGACATAATGTGTGCAGCTTCTGCTAGCAGTGCCAGCTTCTGCAGTGTAATGTCTAGACAATACTAAGCCTTGTGAAAACTAGAGCGTCTTAGCATCCATTCTGCTTTTGCAATAGAAGTGCTTGGTTATAAAGAGCTCCTTGCTTTTCCCACCACCATACCGTCCCCCAAGCAGTGTATATCTTCTGATCTTAGAGATTCCAAGCCCTCACCGAAATACCTTAACTTTTTTGGATGAACCTTACCAGCTCCGACTTAAACTTACTTACCTTGAGACAGAAGGTCTGGCTTGCTTGTTCAGGGTCATGTCCTGAGAATTTTTGTGCCAGAGTCAAGAACCAGAGAGCTGCTTCAGCTTATCTCCTGATCTCTATGCAGAAATATCTAATCAATTTCTTCAGGAGATCACAGCACCAACCCAGGAGTTGGCTTACATGGTATCTAACCTAAAAGCCTCCTTCAGGTACTTAAAGGAGCCTGTATCATTTTAAAAGGACATAAAGATCTCAAAAAACTCAAATTCTGCTGATTTTTTTCACTGCTTTTCCTGGGGCTTAGCAGGGTTATGCAACTTTTAAATAGGTGGACTACTCGGATATTAAAATTGAATGCATCCTTTTTGTTTGTTTGTTTGAAAACATATTGCAAACAAATAGAAAGCTGTGTAAAATCCAGAGCTTAGGAAGGGAGTGCCTTTACCCTAGTCAGCAAACTTAAGTTTGTAAGTAAGATGAAGTTTCCTTCAGACTGCATTCATTCCCACTAGCTCAGTTATTTTACTCTTTTGTACTCTAGACTTAGCAGAAATGGAGGCATCAATTTTGTCACAGAACAGTAAAAGAAAATAAAGTTACTGATTTTTTTATCATTTTATTTTTGGTAGTTAACGAATAAGATTAACCTGTGTAGAATTAAAAAAAAAGCTCCTAAACTCCATGTGAATACCTTCCTAAAACTTCTGAGTAAAGTGTTGCTCTTAAAAAAATAAAACAAAAAAAAAACAAAAAACAACAACAAAAATCCTACCAATAAACCCCAGAGGATATATTAATTTTCTTTGACAATTTCAATTTTCTAAGTAAAGGCTTTAACCTGTCACTTTCCCTTTCCAGAAGTTGGTTGCTCTGATGATGGCCGTAGCTAAAAAGCATCTTTAGATTTAACCTAAGCTAGTCTCAAGATCTCCCGAAGGTAAGCAGCGATTTGGCCGATGTTTGTGAGGAAATGAGCTCATTTCTGATGCTGTGCTGGCAGGTACTGAGTAGTGTGTTGTGCTACGTACTTCAGGGGGGAACCTGCTGAACTGTCAAATCAGAACATTCAGGTCCTTGCCGGAGGACCTGTCAAAAGACACATGGGTGAGAACGTAGATTGCCTAAAATGGGGAGATTTTGGAATTGATATTTAGGTAAGAGGCTCTCGGATTTGCTTTATGAGCAGCAACACTTCTGCAGATGAGAAGGTAGATCTTTACTCACCAGACACTATGTGGGCCTCTACATTGTTTCTGACATCATACAACAGTTTAATACAGTGTTGGGAACCACCATATAACAAGCACTTCTATTAAACTGCTAGAACTAAACTACTATGTAGATTAAAATGAAAAGAAAAACCATCCACCAATCCTGGAACATTTATTTGCCGTGGTACTTTAATTTTCTAAGAGGAATAATTCCTAGCTTTTTTCCTTTTACTGAATTATCTGGGCCATTTTAGTGAACATAGCAGGAATGTGGATATGACCTACAACCAGGTATGATCTCCCTTTTCCTTGCTTCTCCTTCCAGTTTGTCAAAGACTGTCCTAAAGAATCAGTGAAGGGCATGTGCAGTAAGAAGTATAATTATGGAGTTCTCCTGTATCATCCTCGTGCTTTGCCTTGGGTCTCTGCCTTCTACATCAAGATCTCACCCACTGCCAGCATGCTGGGAAATATCTGTGTGTTGTGGCTCTTCATTTTTTCCCCAGCAAATTATCAATTATATGCTTCAGATTTTAATTGGTGTGAAGGCCTAAAGAATTATATCTTAAACTAAGCGCGGACACTCAATGAACATGAAAAGGAACAGTAGTGAATGGCAATTTCAGGCCAAGCATTTTTCCCAGGTAGTTGATACAAACATTGCTGTGTGCAAGAAACATTTTGGATCGGTCTAAAGTAAGGGGACCCTCTACTGCTCTTGAGTGCAGTATGTGTAGTTCAGCTCCAAGTTAGAAGAGTCTGAATTCCTCCTGTAGTTGCCAGAGCCTGCACAGTCATTTGGGTGACTGATCATTAAGCATTCACCTTGGATGACCCACTGTCCTGGCTCTAGCAGACACTTGTGTAACTTTCAGCTGCCTCAGCATGAGTGCCTGGTGCCATTTTGAGTATGCTGATGAGCTGCTATTCTGAAACAGCGCAAGACTCTGTGGTGAAGGATCCCCTTCTTGTTCAGGGCTGCTGCTGTGGTTGCATCGCCTGGGGCTAAATCACACGTTGTCAGTCTCAGTGCGTCACTTCAGGCTCATGTTAAGCCATTGAATTGGTATGCTGAGGGAATCTGGAGAGAGCTGTCAAGCAGTTGTGTTAGTATTTGCTACCTGTGGTGAAAGGAAAACAAGAGTGCAAAAAAGGTGTACCGTACCTGGAGAAATCACTACAGATGAACTGAAAGTCTACAGGAACAAAGGAGATGGAGGTTATTCCAATCCTTCAATTCCTTCACATCAGGATTGAAAAGCCTTGAAAGCACTGCTTTGGTAGGGATTGGAGGGGGTTGGAGAGTCACAGAAGGAAAACTTCTTCATGGGTTAGCTACAAGAAGTGAATAAGGCTTTCCGTGTATGCTGTAAGCTAGCAAAAGAAACCAACTACATTTTTTGAAAAACAAAAGGTAGTCTTGAAAGATTTATAACAGAGTTTATTGTGAAACTACTGAACAATAATTTTGTTGCACCTTAAAATTCCCTTTCTTACCCTCTTTCAAAAACAGGCAACAATAAAAACCCACAGAAATCCAGTTGTTTTTTTTTTAAATGAAGTAAAAACATTTGAGAAGTGACTTTGTGTAGAGCTGTCGTAAGAGCAAGCAGCATTTGCTTACTATCTGTTAAGGGCAGTAGGACCTTTATATTGGCTTTATTTATGACAGAGCATGAAGACAATTTGCAGTTGCATTTTAATACTCTGCTGCTCTATGCTTGAACTTACTAGGTTTTGAGCCAAACTTTAAAGTATTTTAAGGAATGTACATTACTGAAATGGAAATCATAAAGAAAATCTGTGGATATCATTTGAGATGTTAACTTCTTAAGTACATTTAGTTGACTTTACTGCTGTTGCTTGCTCATTTTATCCCCCAAAATCAGTAGCAAAACTATCCAGTTAAATGAGTTTGCAAATTCAGTGTAACCTGCAAGTCACAGGCATTATGTTCGGACAAGAATGGAGACCCACAAATTTGCGAGCTGATGTTCACACTGTTTTATCACAGAGCTTAGCTGTTGCTATTCATGAGCTACGCAGATTCTGTGCAATGTCTAATCCCTGCTTCTTCTCCTTTCTCAGCTTACAATGCAGTTCTTCCGACAGCCATCTGGAAAGATATTCTGAGTTATAAAGAGGGGTACTGAGTTAAACCAGTACTTAAACATTCAAAACAAAATATTATTCCATCATTATTCTATGCAGATGGAAGACTATTCAGCAGAAAATAACACTTACAGAGGAAAATTTACAGCCTTTTTTCTTCACAAACATTAAAGATGCTTCATGAGCCAGTTCAAGTGAAACTTCACCAAGTTCTACTGCTTTGAACAGGAACTTGTATTAGATGACTGTCTGAGGCTCCTTCCAATCTGTATTATCCCCCAATCCTATTTTTAAATACTCTGCAGTGACTATCTGTTAAACTTTGTTTATGCCCTCTGATGTTTGGTTTTTACTGTACAAATAGGGTTTGCTCAGCCACTCTGAGGTAGCAGTCTGTAATACATGGGAAAGCCTACGGAAAGCGGTACTGCACTCACGTGGAAAGTGGCTGTTCCTCCAGGAAGAAGATAATTTGCCACTCAGTTATTTGGCTCTTTTGAATCATTCCAGTGTACAAAGAATGAAACCTACTTCTAAGGGAAACAAAGAGCTGCTTATTTGCAGATTGGTGTGGTTTCTTTGCCCTCTATTAGGGATGCTTGCAAGAAGTTGTTCCATTTTCTTGGAGCTGCTGTTTTATCCTGCTGGTTTCAAACACTGGTTTCTGAAAAATATGGTTCTCTTGTCATTGCACAGTGCTAATGAAATCTATATGATTGTTTAAATAAGAAAGAACAGAGCACAAATATACATTTTCAGTAATAGAGGCCTATAATTTCAATGGAATTGAGAAGCTGACTTTTCAGTTCAACTTACAGAATGGCTGTCTTTCAGGCTTTTTTGATACTGAGTGAAATAGTAAAAGAGAATGCAGTATCAGCTTCGGTGCTTCTTCTTCCGCCTCAAACTACAAAATAGACCTGGTTACAATTGTAGTACTTCATGTTACATCAACTTTGGGTGTCTCTACTGATTTTCAGTCAATTGTGTGTATAATTTTAAATGAGTGCAATGTGCAGATAATCTGCAAATGTAGGAAGCCTATTATTTGGTACATATTCTGCCAAATATTCCAACTTTAAGATCTATAGTAAAACTAGCTGGCTGACCAAACATTAAAGTGACCTGAGATTATTCAAAGAGGAACTTGACATTCTAGCTATTTAAAGAAGTCAATTTTCTGACAGTTGCTTTAGCAATGTCTTATTTATAACAAAAGAAAAGGTTTCTGAGACTAAAAAGATTTTAAATGAGTATGTTTACAAGACATGTGAGAACTGCCTACAACACTAAATATTAGTTTATTATGTTCTGGCTCTCTAATAGTACAGAAATTACTTGAATTTTCTTCTGTAGGGCCAGTGTATTGCCACGTTTTGTTTCAAAAGTATTAGCATTTTAATAAATGGTGACCTAAATTCCATAGCAAGAGTTAAAATATAAAGAAATAAATTCAGAATTGCTATTTTTAAAGATCAAGCAGAAACTGCCAGGCATTCTGCAGGCGTATCAGTACCTGAATGCAGTTATTTCAGCTTTAAACTTCATTCATTCTAGTCTTTGGAAAAAGGGCTAAAAACAGTGCAAGTCTGAATATCAATTACAGGATGTCACATTGACACTCATTACTATGATTGACATTTTCTGTACTTCAGTGGTGAAGTTCTACGGACTTTTTGATCATTGGAGCTGATAAAATATCCCTCTATGATACCACTTTACATGACATTTTTTATTACTGTCCCCAGAGGCAATCCGCACAACAACCTGGACCCTCCATGTTGGTTTTCCAAAGCCTTGCTTGATCTTTATTAACAGTTTTAAAAAGACCGAAACACTGAAACATTCTGGTACGCTGTCATAAACTCATTTGAATCATTAAAGCTTATATAAATTCTGTTTAGCATTTTTATCAATCACCTGGATGCAGAATGGAATGCATCCTTAACAAGTTCTCTGGTGATACTGAACTGGGGAGATGCTGTTGACTCTCTGGGGAAGGACGAGAGATCCTACAAGAAAGATTTGGATAGACTGGAGAATTGAACAGTAATCAGCACCAGGGAATTCAACAAAGGTAACTGACCACCTACTGGTATTGCATCTGGAATACAGTAACACTGGATACAGGCACAGGCTGCAAGGTGAGTGATGGTGAGCAGCTCGGCAGATCTGGGGGTGCTGCTGACAGCAGGCTCAGCACAAGCCAGTGGTGTGCCCTGGTAGCTAAGGGGCAATCTGTTTTTTAGGATGCATTAAAGGCAGCATAGACATCTGATGGAAAGAGGTGATTATCTCACTGTATTTAGCATTGGTGCAGCCTCGTATTGAACATTACATGCAGTTCTGGGCTCCACAAAAAATAGCAGATCTTAGGATATTTGAATGCGACCAGAGGAAGGTAACAAAGCTGGTAAAAGGCCTGGAAAACATGTCTTACAGAGGAGGCTGAGGACACTTGGGTTATCTGGTTTGGAGAAAAGGAGGCTGAGAGAGGAAATGAAGAGAGAGAGGTGCTGATCTCTTCTCTCTGGTAAGCATTGATTGAACATGAGGAAATGGCACAAAGCTGAGCCGGGGGAGGTTCTGACTGGATATAAGGAAAAAATTTGTTATTATGAAGGTGGTTAAACACTGGGACAGGGTTCCAGAAAGGTGGTTGATGTCCCACAGCTATTGGAATCTAAAAGGCATTTGGATAATTCCCTCATTAATATACTTTAACTTTTGACTAGCCCTGAAGTGGTTAGGCAGTTGGCCTCAACCTTTGTGTAGGTCCCATTCCATTCAAGTTCAGTTAATTGCTGAAAGTTATTTACTGACTACAGCCAGAATACTGCCCAATACAAGGTAAGTGTTATTCTGTGTTTCTTGTCTTCCTTCAGTACTGCAAGGCCTGTAGTGTAACTTAAAAACAACAAGTTTGAGGAAACTTCATGGAGAAATAGACTCACCTATTGGCCGCCCCGTTAAAATTACACAGCTCAGGAGGTTTGCATCTGGGACAGAAGAATAATGATGTGAAATAAAATAGGTTAGCTATTTCCAGAAATGTAGTTGGAGGGGGAAATGTTATTTTTGCATTAGTGTTTGTTTCTGTTGCTATTCTAACATCTCCAAGCAATTGGAACAAGCTTTGATACTCAAAGATGATGTCCCGGTGTTGTGGGCCTGGTTTCATAGAGTTATATGTAATAAATTGGTTTAAGTGCTATATAACTGTAACTTTCTCTAGTATACATAATGTTTCACTCCACAAACTACTAGTAGGATTTTGGAAGCTGGAGAAAATGCATTGCTGAAAACTAATATAAAAAGAAATGAGTCCATCAAACTTTTCCATGTCCTCTGGCAGTAGGTGGGTCCCAATGAACTGTGGATGCACTTTCCTTAGCTTTCCTTTTGCTGTCACATACTTAAAGAAGGTCTTATTGTTTTTCATATCCCTCCTTCGAATTCCTGCTAAGCTTTGTCTTTCCTAATTCCAACCTTCTGTATGCAAATAATTGTTAAAACCGCCTTCCTCTTCCTGAAGTTCTACATCAAATCTTGTTTTCCCTTCTTATCTTCCTGTTACCTCATCAACTTTTATTAGTGGTTACTTTCTTATAAACTGAGGCAGAATAGACAGTCAAAGGTGAAGCCATCAGTAAGACTCAACTGAGCAACAGTCCAGGCATGTAGCACCCCCTGGCAGATGTGACATGAGAAACAGAACTTTGAGGCTACTGTTGTTACTTGCAAATATATACAGTAGAACAAGAGAAGAGAAGATCTGTTCCACCCTGGCTGCTGTGTCAGACCCAGAAATGCTAAGTTCCAGTACACGTTCTGATAAAACAGTAGAAAACAGAACTACCATGTACCTATCCAGGGACATTCCAAGGCACCAGGCCTGCATCCAGCATTCCATGTGGAAGATAAGCTGGAGGAAAAAGGATGTGAGATGATCACTGCTTCCTCTACAACTCGATGTCTGTCTCATCACAAAACAAGCAAGGTTATAGTTCGAGTTGAAGCTGGCTCTAGAAGCAACAGAGTATTGCCAGTATTACCTCGTCAAAAATCCTGATGGCATTTGCATGTGAAGTAGCAATGAGATGTGCTGAATTAGCTCAACTATCTCTGCTCCTGTGATGGATTACTTAGGTTGTAGATAATCTATGTAATATCTAAATATAAATCTAGATAATCTATGTAGATAAACTATGTATGGCGCAATGTTGAGTATCATCTTCATAGTTAAAAATCCTAATATGAATGGGGACTTCTATAAAATCCAAATAAGAAAAAAAGTACAAAACCTGTGTTTTTTTAAACTGCAAACTGTAAAATGCAAACGTGAAATTAATGGCACAAATAAAAAAGCACATTCTTCTCAGAAAAGACAGCAGAGCCTCTCTCCACTATCTCATACAGAGTAAGAATAACAGACTAAGAAGAAACTTGTGGAAAAGGTGGAACTTGGTACCACCTTTGTTCTTAGCCCATCAGAATGTAGAGACAGGGGAGAAGCTTGATGAACAGATGATATTTCAGCTCAGTGTGACAGGAAGAAAGAAGTAATAAAAGAGATTAACTCAAGGTTGTGGGGCAAAACCCACATTACCTAGTGTGCATACTTGGTAGAAGGCAGCTTAATCTCAAGGTCTTACCTGGTGACCAGCTGACAGCAAGTTTCAGTTTAAGTATAAACAAAGCACTGAGAAAAATCAAGATGTTATGATATAGTCTTTATTTAGCAAATTCATAAGCTGTATCTACAAAAGCAATTTATATATGCAGAAAAATGCTCGTGATGATCTGCCAAAAAGTTATTTTACAAATCCATCTTTCTATCTCCAGTTCTTTCATCTTCATCTAAGTTCAAAAGACAAGCTGTTCAGCCAGTGGGTGGGAATCAGTAAACAACCACACAGTTTGTAAACATCACAGGAGGGAAGGAGAACCAGTGTGAGAAACATTAGGGACACGTTGCACTATACTGTGATTACTGAAAATACCTTGTTTACTGTCAATAAGCCTTACAGCAATCAGAAAACTTTTTAGTTGAGTTGACCTACTTTTAGCAGTAGCATAACATTACAAGCTGTGATGCAGATCAGGTTGTTCCTAGCTGATCACGTGGTGGCACTGTGTGCTGATGAAACCTAGAAAATGAGTCATCTAAGGATGTCGTTTGACAGCCTCTCCAAGGGAACGTGCAGAATAAATACTGCCAAAAGCCACAGTGCAACACTTAGCAGCAAACTCCAACCACTTACTGTGCACCAGCATTAGCATCGATCTGATCCTGAGGAGAACTGGAGCACATTAAGGAATAAATAAGAGAAGAACACACTACTATTCTTGTTGGTTTAGCACTCTAAACCAGTTCTATCCTAGGTCAGATGCACATTAATGCCAGTATGAAATAGAAGAAATGATGATGACCCTTTAGGCAGCAGCTAGCTGCTAGGTTTGTCTGTTTTGGCACTACAGCTAAGCATAAATGCGGCACAAGGACGCAAGAAAGTTCAAAGTTAGAACAACAATCTGATTTAAAAGCCATCTGAAACAAGCCAGTCAAACTAGCATATTTAAACACTGTCACTGCACAAACCTTGACATACCTTGCTGACACTGGAAAGTCCATTAAGCTTCACCCTGAGCTAGGAGATACTTTAAAAAAAAAAGCAGAATTTTATCAACAAGAGCAAGAAGCATTCAGAACAAACCTTGGATTCTGACTCAGTCTTAAAGTATGCTATGAATCCAGGTACTGTTTACATACCTAACATATCTTGCTATAAACTGCCTATAATCCAGAGTTCTATTATTCTCACCATTTAAATTTCAAGCAAACATCCAAAGCAGTGCAAGAAATATAGAAATACTGTCCTCTTATTCTTCCAATTTGACTCTGATACTATAAAACAAAACAAAAACCAAGTAGCTAACAGAAAACAAAAGCAGCAGAAATTCTCAAATGCAATTCTGTGGATTTCAATTCAGTAAAAGATAAGAGCAATAAGAAAAGGCATCTGAACAAGGCATGACACAATGCACACATCAGGATTATTGAACAGAAAATGTCATTAGTTAAGTGAAATTCTGTTATGCCCTTCAGTAGGTAACTTTAGCAAGTAGCTTTAATTAAAAACAACTCTTACAACCCAGAATTTTATCTCCACACATTTTTCTTTTTTTTTTAATGTCCTTGGAGGCTTGCCAGTAATTTCTTGGAGCCCTGAAATAAGAATTTGGAGTCAGATACGAATTCTGGTTCTGATTATACTGCAATTCCCTATGAAATTTGACTCCTTGAAATGTATTTTTCAACAGCAGTCTTTAGCATTCAGCACTGTGTGTGTCTCTGCAGAAGTTCAAGACTATGTAAAATCCTACCTGTAGAACAAACTACTAGTCAGACTGGAAAAGTACCTCACAATCTCTGAATAAAAAGCATCGTATCAATACAAAATACCTGATTTAGCAATGACATGCACATCTTCTGTTTTTTAATTCAATCCCATAATTCCCCAAAGTCTCAGAGAAAACCTATGCATCCTGCTCTGTTTTGTTCCTTCAAGATGAGGAAAAATTCCCCAACATTCTTGTCTTTGTTCTTCACTGGCACTTTATCAGCTACCCATCCTCACTGATACGCTCCGGATTATTGCACAGCCTTCAAATCTGAACATCCTTCATTCACTTCCTTATGTTTATTTCATAGCTGTCCATCTACATTCAAAAGGTATTTTCTTAAAAAGTTTCTGACAGCTTTTTGGGTTCCTGAAGTGTTCTTATCAATTGTAATTGCAGGTGGTAAAACAAGGTGATTTTTCTACATTTTCTGTTTAAATGGAAAGCATACAGTATACATACATTTTTCCTTTCTAAAAGCTTAGTCAAGCAAAATGCATTAAGGTTTTATCACTCCTTATATTCTCTACATTTTCACTGCAACATTGAAAACATCACCCATCTACTTTCAGTGAAGTCTGGTTTATAGTAAACCCCATGAACTCCTGCCAACAGGAATTCTGCTATGTGCAAATATCAGGTTCCTCTGCAACATCCAACAAACAGATGTTGTGCCACCATTTATTCATCAATTTGTCACCTCAGACAGAATTTGTTTTCACCATGTTTGGACTTCAAGAAAAGCTACTAAAATTGAGTGAGTTCATCTATCAAGAGTTCATCTTTATTTAAATTTATGGTAGCTTCTCTTAGTCCTGTCTATTCCACTTCTCAGTTTCTTCTCATTATTAGTTCCTTTATGAATAACGTTGCCTTGAGGTGTACCAATAAGCAGACATTTCATCAAGCTATGTATCTTCACACGGCAGTTCATCAGTTTTCATTAACTCACTTTTGCAGTTAATAACCACATAATGTTAGATGAAGTTGTTATTCAGCTGTACTAAAAGGAGATAATCTGCAAACACCATAACGTGGCATCTGCCAAAGCATCACATTTATTCTAATTTTTGCTACATTGTAATAAATTCTTCAAAACTTGTTCTAACTTCATGAACCTAGTAAAACACATTAGTATTCACTGGTTTTAAACATCCCTTACCAGAAACTTTGCTGAAGTTGATTATGCAATTTTCCCAGGTTCTGTATGCAATGGAAACACTCATCATACCACATATCTATTTAGAAAATGCTGCTTATTTCTAGAAAAAGTAGATGCAGGTGCTCTGAAATAGAAATCTATTTACCAACATACTCGTGTTTCCGGCAACACAGCAAACATTACTAGTATTGGTCATCTGTTAAAACATTATGAAAGGAGAGGAGAAGGAAAAGATGTTCCTTAAATTTAGAATTGCATGTGGCATGCAGGTAGTGATGTCATGGCTATAAACCACAACAGGATTATAGAATCCTAGAATGGCCTGGGAAAAGGACCACAATGATCATCCAGTTTCAACCCCCTGCTCTGTGCAGGGTCGCCAACCAGCAGACCAGGCTGCCGAGAGCCACATCCAGCCTGGCCTTGAATGCC